AAACAGCCTGAGCGTGTTCAGCCCGACCAGCACGTCGGAACTTCCCCACTTTTGCGCTGCTTATCGAGAGCGGGGAGCGGCCGGGTCCGAAGATCAGTGGGATTCACTTTCTGCAGTAATGACCCTGCTCAAAAGTGGTGGTGGGAGGGATCCATTACAAACTTGTATGTAAAGAATATCAACCTGTTATTTTACTAGGCTATCTTCTCATACTAAGATAACTTACAATATCACAACCTCACATTAATGGCCAGAGGATCATGTAGGGGTCTACTTAACGAGCAAGTAGTTCTTGCGTAAACATAGCTCACATATCTTATAGGGATTGCCACAAAAATGAGAAAGCTAAGACAATAGCATTGTCAGAAAGCATCAAATGCCGTACAAAATGGACAAGGAACTTTGTCAAATAGAAACATTATCATCATATATGGAGCAGTAACAATCACAGATCATCAATGGTTGATTGCTAAGACTCATACTGTCGGTATGCCTTCCCTCGTTACTTCGTTTGTTTCATCTTTTTTTCTGTGTGTCGTTCGTTTCGCGTTATCCATTCCAATCATTAATCCGTATCATACCATCATATCTGTTGCTTGGTATGCAAATCGTTTTATACCACATATTGCTGCCGCCGACCCGAGCTGCTGTGGCGCCGGTGACCACGTCGACTGCTGTGACTCCTGCGACGGACAGTGGTCTCCTTGACAACAACTTCCGGACGCTTGTAGATAGCGAGAGCAAGAATAGCCGTCCAGAAGAAGAATACAACTTCAATGATCCCCAGTGCAAAGCTGGCCTTCAGCATCGCGCAAGTCTTGTCAATGTGGAAGGACAGCGGGTTATCGGTCCTGTAGCCGTAGTATCCGAAGGGGCCCAAGGAAATGTACACCGAGCCACCATCCCAATGAGAGCAACTGGCCCCGGCAATAAATCGCAGCTCGTAGACACCCGCAATGAAAGCACCAAAGAAGAGGAGATCGATGAAAGCGACAAACATGGCGGAGCGCTTGGTGGTCGAAAAGCGGATCAGGGTATCGAGGCACCAGAAAGCTGCAATGACGCTGACGATGAAGAGAACGAGAATGTAGGCAGGGGTAATTTGGTTCGCATTGAGGTAGCCATTGACGAAGTATGCCTAGATCGGTGCTGTTAGACATGGCCGTCCGGGGATTGGGTTAGGGTTGGAATGCACATACCATCATTCCGATGATCGGAATCAGGAAGACAAGCTCCAGAATGCGGTTGCAGATGAAGAATATACTGCCAATCATTTTGTCGATTATGCGCAGATTGCGAATGGACCTTCTCGGAGTGTAATTGAACGTAGTATGATGCAGATGCTCAGAAGCGTGAATAAGAGTAGGAATCTGGGCTGAACGTGGCGACCACTACAACGTCATCACACGCGGCACGTTAACCGATGAGACGGTGTTTTCACGACACAATCTAGCGTGTTTGGCGTACTGAGCGTGTCGAGAGCGATTCTGGTGGTTGCGCCGGACAACGTATAGAGGAGAACTGGTTAGGTGCCGATCAGATGCAGCCCAATTCAAAGGCACGAGCCCAGCCGTTACGTGCTAGAGAAAGCAAGGTACAGGTGATGCATCCAGCCCAAGGCAGTATGGAGATGAGGTGCAGAAGAGAAAAGAAAGAGGAACCGGACGGGGATGAATATGCGAGTCGGAGAAAGAGAGAGGAGGCTGGGCGATTCAGGCGGCGGGGTGGCTGGGATCCCAGCGTGAAAACAAGGTTCTATTGCCCGACCCTGAAACAGCGAGATTCAATAGGTGTTTCAACAGTTACTTTATGAGTCGGATCGAGTCATCAGAATCGACAGTCCTACGCCAATCAGTACAAAGGGTATACACTCCTTTTCTCAACATACAATCGTTGGTGATTATTGTTCGGTGTTTACCGCCATCCTTGCCTTTGGGAGGGCCGTTGCCATAGCTGAGCCGTGGGTGGGGCTGCCCGGCCCACGAGGTGCTCGAGCCACGGTTGAGCGCCGGTCTAGCCCTCAGGAACGCTTTCTGCCTCTTGTGCGGCAGCATCCCGGATCGACCAAGAAAGTAACCAGGACTATTTATATCTGATGCAAGGAGGGTGAGATGGAGAGCTGTTGCGGTCTCTCCTCCTCCCCATTGTAGTAATATGGTCGACTTTCGCCCTCTCGGTACCATACCAGATCCACTATCCAAATCTCTAAATGCGACCAAGTATGTCTATGAAATGGCAAATACACCCATAACCATGCAACCAAAATTGAGGTTTTAGACTTCCCGATACGGCATATCTGTTAGGTCCCGCCCTCTGTCCGCATGAGTCGGGAGCGCGCCCGAGGTTTCGTGGGTACTGGTGGTTCCAAGTACAACCTGTGGGGTCTGGGAGTGGTACGCCGTATCAACATCGAGTCGCGCCGTTGGTCCGTTCAACGCTGGGTTCTGCGTCCGGGCATAGCCAGGTTGCATCTCATATCCACCAGCAACATCCTCACTAGAGGATGACCAGTTATCGTCTTCATCACGTCTTGAGTAGCCGTACATGTTCGTAGTGTACGGATTAGATTCCGGTAGGTACAAGGGCCTACCAGCATCACTTCCGGTCGTCTTTGACTGAGGAGCTTCGTTCAATCGCTCCTCCTCTGGGTTCCTTAGAGCGGCAGTGCTTCCATCAGTAGCCACCAGGCGGACAGTCTCGGCAGGACCCACGGGATCCCTGCCCCACGTCCGGATGGGATAGGCGCGTCCTTTCTTCCAGGGCTCGTTGAGGGAAGGGAAATATTGACGGTACGAGATGCAGGCACAGATAATACCTAGGAGCGATCCGGTGATGACGTCGAATGGATGATGCCTTGCATCCATAATCCGGCTCACCGCAACAAGCGTTGCTGCGAGAGACGGTATCATGACCAAGAGTGTCTTCCAGGCCTCGCCGCGGTTGTCCATTATGTGCAGCTTGCCACTAAGCCAAAGCGTGAGATAGAATAACCCGGCAAACGACGCTGTAATCATTATATTAGTTCTCAATACGCGTTTGTGACAACTCAGGTGGGTTCCTCACAGCTACTATGTCCTATAACAACGGATTAGCATATGAAACGAATTAAGTATCTTTGAAGTGCTGTCCAACCTGAAGGCCATGACCGGAAGCCGTCTTTGATAAGCGCATGTTCACCGGTACAGATAGTCGAATTTGACAGTCCGGGTATCGCGTCCTGACTTCCTGCGCGGGGCTGGCACCGGTCAATGAAGTCAGGCCTAGGCTTTCCACAAGCATTTTTCAGCACCTGCGTGATGACAAAGGCCAGCCCTTGTGAGAGCAAGAGCCCTAGAATACCGCAGTTGAGCTCCCATAGCCGATCTTTCCATCTATATGGACCGGTGAATTTGCGCTTCCCCGAGACTGGATGCTGCGTCTTGTGGTGGGAGAAAAGCCCGTCGATGAATAGCGTATAGACGATAATGATGACGAGGGGTGCCAGGCCAGAGATACAGAGGGCTTCCTGAATGGTTATCCGCTCGTGGACTGCATATGGGTACTGAATTGAGATGTTTCGTAACGAGAAGTGCTGATGATATGGTTCAATGGAATCAAGAACGTAGAAGCCTCCAATGCACGCACTATTGCAGCAATTATTAGCAAATGCCGCCGATGATCCGCCAACAGGTAGAACTAACATTAGGATAACATAGTCAAAGATATATCTGCCATGAGCGACACATGTTAGCGATGAGTAGCGTTTCCTCCCCTTAGAATTGAATCCTCACGATAAGATGACTCGCTGCTTAAGGCGCCGCTTAGAGAAAGGCAGCTTTTCGGGTAGACGGTCCATCGGATGAGGATCCACTTGGTTTAAGACACAATGCAATAAGTGAGGGGCTCAATTCTCCTTGTTCACAGCTCGGATATATAAAAACCTGGCCAGTGTTCAAAGCATTTATTTTCCTTGAAATAGAGCAGCCTAATGCGACCGGTGTACGCGTGAGATTGGGAGCACGTGAGGGAGTCTGTCCACAGCTGAAGTGTCAACTGAGATCTGCCCAGCGGCGAAAGGCCAGCAATAAAAGAATTCGGAGAAGGCTGAGTCCCTGATTTGTGACCTGCCAATGAGAATGAGACGGAGACAAAGCATGGGGCTGTGGGCGACTAAATATGGGGGAAGTCTGAATACTCGTTGCCTGCAGCTCTTTTGCCGACCCACTCGCCCAGAGTACATCGGCTCGACCACGGCTCGGTCAACCGCTGGCTGCCTCGTCTCCATGGAAGACCCCAGTATGGGCCATTTACCCTTGATGGTCGTATAGCATAGCCTGAAGGGAAGCCAGGATAGCGGTAGATACCATCATAGATGCAAAATGTCATTGATTACCGAGTAGCTGGGCCGGGAATGCAATTAGGCACGGAGTGTCATTGACAGATGATGGACCGTGTTAAGTGAACAGACCCTGCTTGATCGACACTCGGGCGGTTAACTTTGGCTCGGTATGGCCGCTGTTATGATACAACAATATCAGGGGTGGACCCCCTGGACAGCCTGTAACGCTCTTTCTGTCATTTTCACATCGTATGCTTATGTAATGTATTGATGTCGATCCTATCGCCTTTCAATCGCCAGCTTTTAGTCTTCGCGGGCTATGGCACACCAGAATGGGAAATCTGTGTGATCTTGGCTGATACTCTATTTGTATTAGCCCCGTTAGGTTGGACCTCGACTTAAATTAGTATCTACTACGGAGTACATCAATCACTGATAGTACTTGGTTTAGTGAAATATATATTCGTACGATACCATCATTAGTACAGATCATCTCTACAACATCTCCTATTCAACTGTTAACTGTCAACTACAATAATGTGTTACTACCGCCATCATCTGGCAAAATAGTACTATACTTAACTATCATTTTATCTTTCTATACAATGAATGTTGAATGGGTACTAGCTTTGAAAACTGTTACACTACACTACAAATGACAGAATTTTCATCACTGCGGCGTCTACCACCCAAACTCCACAAAATACCCTTCATCTTCCACAACCTTTCCGAACAGTTCTTCTGGAGGCCCCTTTGTTGCCGCGCGGACAATCGGCTGTGCCCCCTCCTCAGGAGACTTGACACCGTTGCCTCCCTCAAATTCGGTTCGACAGTGACCCGGGCAAACCACGATTGAGAGAATGTTCTCCTTCTGCAGGCGCACCGCATCCACCGCTTTGATCATGTTGAGGGCGGTTTCACTGCTTCAAAATGCTGGCAGCTCCCAGGCCTTAGCACTATACTCCGATGCCGCTGCTCACGTTGATGATGCGCCGATCATGATACTTGGAAGCACGGAGAAGAGGAAGGAAGCATCTATTACAACAGCCACCCCAAAGACGTGGTCTCGAACACTGCGCGGTAGGTCTCACGAAGCGTGGCGTTGGGATCAGATGATTGATTGACGCCGCCATTATTGACAAGAATGTTGAGTGAACCGAACCGTGCCTGAATGAAGGCGGCAGCAGCTTTGATAGATACGTCGCTGTTGAGGTCTAGTATCACTGGTGCAAAGTTGTTGGAGGAATTGCCTAGTTTCTTGATAGCTTCCTCGGCTTTCTCTTGCGTCCGGGCACCAATGAGGAGACGGTATCTGCCGGTGCTGCCAAGCTGTTTAGCTGTGGCATACCCTAAACCGGTTGGCACCAGTGATCGAGGTCAATGGCTTCATGACAGTCATGGTGAAGGGTGTGCATGGTGGACATCTAACCATATTCGTGAACACTTTGGTAAGATGATCTGGGGAAGAGGTACTGAAGTAGGAGCCAGCTAAACTTAACTGCTATTATATCTCCCTGAAGGCATGGATTTAATGGGAGTTACGATGCACGTATCACCTGGACTTAACCGGACATATGTACGACCGACTCTAAGATATTCTTTTGCAGGTCAGCATAAAGAACATCTTATCAAGTCGATATAAAGGATGACACTTCATCTGGGCTTCTAAATACTATTGCCGAGTTAGCAAACCGGCTCACTACCTTCCCTCTCTTTCAAACAGTCAACAATACACCTTCCAGCCACCAAAGTATACTGCTGCTAACCCTTGGTTTAAAGATCCATCGTGTTCACGTCTTCGTCACAGAGTGTCCGACGATGCTGAAGGATATAATGCCGCACGGAGGTAATTCTCAAGATACCAAAGATATGGGAAAAGCCGCATGAAATTGATATCGCCCATTCGTTGCTGACCGTTGGACGGAAGCCCTCAGTTGTCTCCGTCTGTAATTGTCCTTGCAGTGTTCGTCCAAAGGGATGGTCATATCCACTGAACGCAAGCTGGCGACTTTAAGAAAGAGTACGCCGTGACCCTTGTGCGAATACTATCAGCATCAGCCTTGATGTTTCTCATACCCGGTTGAAGATGGCGGGTGTAATTGTTTGTCTCACTGCAACTGCTCTTGATATGCAGCAGCAAGACATGTTGATAGTATGGGCATACGAGAGTATATACGTCAGACCATGGAATGAACCACCTTTGGGTGTTGTCCAGATTGTGTTGAGCTCCGTACCTGCTAGCAGATCCAATCGTTGTTTGTGCCGACCTACTCCGTAGCGCTGCGTACTAAATGTTAGAATCCCGGTGGGGTTTACGTGTACTTCGCCCTATTGTTGGGCGCCAACTCATACATAAAGCACTAGGAACAACTCGGAAAAACGGAAAATTACTAGTCTCTCAGCCCTTAGATCTAGAGCTGAGAAAAAGCAAATATTCTTTGTTGGCTTAAAGATGCTTGCTCATCCCCCGACCGGCGCTTTTCGCTCGAGTAAACACGCATAGAACCCCGCGCACCATGGGTTGTCCCAAGCTACGAAATCTCTTTCGAAAGAGGCGCTCCAAACAACAGCCTCGGGAGGAAACCACGAATCTATCAAACATTCCACCACAAATATCGTTTAATGCTCTTTCTGGTACCTGTTCGACGCTGGAGCCAGTAGCTCAACCGAAACCTAAATCAGATGCCTTGCCAGCAGAGGATAAACAGGTTCAATTGAGCTCGGACACCATCTTGCATCACCTCAACAGGAAGGCTGAGAAACGGAATCTCTGGCAAGAGGCATACAACACGTTGGATGAGAAGCAGCGCCAGAATATAACGCCGTTGAAGAAAAATGATCAGAACGGCGACAATCACGATGACGATGCAACCCCTGTACGCAAAACACTAGATCATGTAATTCAAACCGTCAAAGCACAATACGAAATAAGAATGTCGAAAAGAGGAGACTCACGACTTCGGGATGCTGCAAACAAAATCTTGACAGCCACATTGAGCTGCAAGGATATTATCAGTGCAATCGTGGCATTCGACCCCACTGCCCACGCGTCAAGTGCCTGGACAGTCGTCTCTCTGGGATTGACGGTATGTTTGACATCATTGTCTCTACAAAGCTCACTTGCCCTAACATAGTCTTGGTAGATGACACAGAATTATCGTGTTCAACAGATGGCTTGGTTTCAGTCATCTGCCATCTTGACTGACATCCTAGCTCGGTATGCCTTTGTAGAGAAACTTTACCGCGACGAGAGATCTGAGTTGAATGAAAAGATTGAGGATGCCATCGTGAGGGTCTATATCGCTGTTCTAAAATATGCAGCGGAGGCAATGAACATTTATCGTTCAAATACAGGAAAGAGACTGATGCATAGTGTGGTGGACCTGGAAAACCTGCCCCTGACAGAAATTCAGTCCTCGATTGACACAGAGAAAACGCACCTGGAGAAGTGGTTACATATGTATCAAGAAATGCAGCGGAAACAAGAAGCAGATAATATTCTGCTTGGAGTTGATCGGATCCTTGACGGTATCCGGGGTATTGACCAGAAGATCGATCTCGCCAAGCTGCCGATAGCTGAAGGTGCTAATTTTGATTCCGATATGGATGAGGCCCACGAATGTCTGGAAGGTACAAGAGTTGAGCTTCTTGATGAGATCATGGATTGGGTCGATGATCCTCAGGGGAAGACTATTTTTTGGTTGAGTGGTGTAGCCGGAACTGGTAAATCAACAATCTCCCGGACAGTGGCGCGAAAGCTGCAAGAGAGGGAGCTTCTAGGGGCAAGCTTCTTTTTCAAAAGAGGGGAGGGTGATCGTGGGAAAGCCTTGCGGTTCATCACCACTATCGCAATGCAATTCATGATCGCCCTTCGCCAATTGAGGACAAAGATTGCCACTGTCATTGACAATGACTTGACGATAATCTCCAAGTCATTTAAGGAACAATTTGATCATCTGTTGTTAAGGCCACTTTTGAGTATGGAATTGAGCAATGGACAGCGCCTATCATTTGTCGTTGTAGTCGATGCCCTAGATGAGTGTGAGGAGCGAAGCATTGAGACGATCATTCGACTTCTTCCTCGGGTGCAAGAATCGAAAACCATACAAGTGAAGGTTTTCATCACCAGCCGACCCGAGCACCCAATCTTTGAGGGCTTTCGGCAGATAGAGGGCGAGCACAAAGATGTCGTTCTCCATGAAATCGAACGTCGTACAATTGAGCGCGATATGGACATTTTCTTTAAGGACCGATTATCGATTATTCGAAAGAAGCGAAATTTAAGCGACCAATGGCCTGGAGAATCCAGGACTCGGGCTCTGATAGACATGGCAATGCCGCTATTCATCTTCGGCGCGACTGTCTGTCTCTTGTTAGAGGATTACCGATGGGATCCAGACGACAGCTTGAACAACATATTGAAACGTCAATACAACAACTCTAATTTGGATAAGACTTACTTGCCTGTCCTAGACAAACTCCTCGGAGGACAGGATAGACGAGCTCAGAATGAATTGGTCAAGCAATTCCGACAGGTTGTTGGGACAATCGCTGCTCTCGAAAGCCCACTTTCCATTGCTTCGCTTTCAAAGCTGATCAATATGAAAGAGAGCCTAATTCTCATCAGACTAGACTCACTTCATTCAGTCCTGAACATTCCAAAGGACAACAACAAACCAGTCAGAATGTTTCATATTTCTTTCCGTGAATTCCTAACTCATCCAGAGACAAAAGAGAAAACAAAATTCTCAGTGGAAGGGCAGTCAACGCATCACGATTTGGCTCATAAGTGCATTGCAGTCATGATGGATTCTGAACGTGGACTGCGGAAGAACATCTGTGACCTGCGCAGTTATGGAACATTTAAAGATGATATTACCACGGAGTATATTGAAGGGTGTTTTCCAGCAGAGCTTCGCTACTCTACCCGATATTGGGTTCATCACATTCATCAGGGAGCTTCGATTCTTTCTGATCACGACGAAATACATGAATTTCTCAAAAAGCATTTTCTTCACTGGCTAGAAGCAATGAGTATCTTAGGGCATCTGCCAGAAGCAATAAGCAGTGTCAATATGTTACTCTCGATTGTACAGGTAACTGTCATCCTCCTGATCCGCGGGCCGGAATTGCTGAATGCTCACAATATACAGACGTCACATTCAGATCAAATATTCAAATTTCTTTACGATGCAAAACGATTTATTCTAAAGAATATCCAGATCGCCGAAGAATTTCCGCTGCAGCTGTATTCCTCTGCACTGGTTTTTGCACCAGAAAAGTGTACGATCAAAGACACATTCTTTCGCTGTGTCCAACAATGCTTCTCTCAACTACCCAGAGTGTCTGAGTACTGGGGTGCTGAATTACAAACACTCGAACTCGGAACTGGATTTGTATATTTCTTGGAGTTTTCTCCTGATGGACAGATGCTCTTTATAGACAATGATAGTTTAAGGCTGTGGGAAACCAGTACTGGTGACTCGCGGAATACGCTTGAAGGCCCTATTGACCGCGACGTTGGTAAGTGGACCTTTTCACCAGATGTAAAATTAGTGGCTTGGTCATCCTGGCACAGCGGCACAATACTATTGTGGGACTCTCTTTCTGGTACTTTGAGACATACCCTGAAAGGAGAACATGGTGTTATTGCGATAGTGTTCTTATCAAATGAGCAATTGGTTTCGGCATCCCTTGACGGAAAATTGACAACATGGAGCACAATATCCGGAGAGCTACAGCAAAGTGTACGCTTGGAGTATGAAGAAGAAGAGACTTCCTCTGAACTTCTTTTGGCCGAGCTCTCGCGCGACGGTGGTTTACTGGTCCGCGCAATGGAGAATGGCACAATAGAGCTCTGGGATACTGTCAATGCCGAACTACGACATACACTCAAAAGCCACGGCGGAATGATTAAATCAATAGCAGTCTCACCAGATGGGATATTCCTAGCCTCCGGATCAGTGAATGGCACTTTGGAGCTTTGGGATATTTGTAAAGGAACCGTACACCATACTCTGCGCTGCCATGCCAATGATTGCTGTATTAATGCTGTGGGATTTTCTAATGATGGAAGATCGCTGGCTTTAGGTTGTGAGGAAGAGCTGACCATCTGGGACATATGTCACAGTCCAATATTATCCACCTTTACTAGCCGCAAAACGAGGGTTGAACTAGTCAGATTCTCACCAGACAACAAGATTGTGGCTTCCGCAACTGATTATCAGGTGACACTCTGGGATATCACTCGCAGTGAAATTCAGCATGCCCCACAAGGGCATACAAAGCCAGTAACTACAGTACAACCTTCGCCAACCGGAGCGTTTCTGGCTAGTAGCTCCAGGGACAACACCGTGAGACTCTGGGACATTTCCACGGGCACGGTGCAACTCGTACTAC